GTGTTAAATCTATTTGCACAATCAATCGCACGACAGCTCTTTCCCATTTTACATGTGTTGTTTTGCGGCATTGATGTCAAACAATAACCTCATGCTAAATGTAGAAGCTGGTAGCTAAATAGGAGCCATTTTATAATTATGCAATTTATAATCCGATTAGTCGACTAATCGTTTTAATAGTCGATGACTAGTCGACTATCAAAATAGTCATTAGTTGCAGCCCTACTTAGTAATGAGGATTTGCTGAAAAGCATGGATTGTCGTGGTGGTGTGATCAAGAGAGTCACTGCTGAAATTGAAACGGGGGGTGGGTGGGGTGGCGGAGGTGAGGAAACATTTTGGGGTATCTGATGAAGAGTACAAGGTAACAAGTCAGTGTCTTATATACAAAATTGATTTGTTACTCCAAGCCCTTACCTTTTTAAATAACCAAATATATGATTTTTGAAGATGAACATTAACCTTGACAAAAGAAATGTAGACAAATCATATACCATGAAAAAGCATTCTTTCTGACCTAGAACAGGAGCTATATCCAAAAGGGATTTTAAAAAAAAATAAAATAAAAACATTTCTGAGCTTTAAGGTATGTGTAATGAGCATGCCAAATTTCATCATAATCAAAAATGGTGATACAGAGCCTAATTTTTTTAAAACTAAAATAATCAGCTTAGTATTGAAATTTTCTGTGCATCCATCCATATTTCCATCCATTTATATAGTCCATAACTGTTTAATCAGTACAGTGTCATGGTCACCTGAATATGAAATGAAGAAAAGTAATTTTCAGATTCAGTGTTCTATATGCTGGTAATACTTTGATACCTCTATCCTATAAACCCACTAAATGTTACTTCATTGTATTTTGCTTTTTCAGAAACAAGCTGTTTGTACCAAACAGAGGAGCGAGGCCAGATGCTGTTAAGGTCTTACTGGTCATCACAGATGGAAAGACCTCTGGAGACGACACTCCCTTAAGTGATGTGGTTAATGAGGCTGAGAGGAAAGGCATCATCCGTTACGCCATTGGGGTACTGTTATGGAAAATAATGTGTCATTACGTTTAAAATAATGCATATGAACCATGAAGTCCTGTCTCCAAGCATGAATTTATTCACATTGCTCAATAGACTCAAGAAATCAAAATCATGAATCAATACTACGATGCTAATTTCTTTACAATTCCAGCTAATAAAAATTTTGGTTACATTTTTCAGGTCAACAGCATTGTTGGTTAATAACAAAATAAAATAACATTTATGAAAAATTTGCAATTTCTTTTCCTGCAACATACTGCTATTTTGCTGGTAGTACTTGGTATTATCTATTATCACTACAGGTCAATAACTATTAAATATAATTACACTTGATGACATAAAATTCCACAAAAATTATTAGCTTGATTTATGTTGATGCCGATATATATTTAACGAAGTTATTATTTTCTGTCTTGGTCCCCACAGGTTGGTGGTGCTTTCCATTATGAAAGTGCACAACAGGAGTTGAAAACTATTGCCTCCAATCCCACTGAAAATCATTTGTTTCGGGTGAATGACTTCCAAGCTTTGGATAACCTTAGGGCCTCACTAGAGAAAAGTATCTTTTCTATTGAAGGTATTGTAGTTCTCTATTTTTCATGATTATATTGTCACATCATTTGCTTTCAATTTGCCATTATCTTCTCATTTATCCCCATTTCATTACATTCATTGATCCATCCATCCATCCATTTACTTCTGCTTATCCGAGGTCGGGTCACGGGGGCAGCAGTCTCAGCAGGGAAACCCAGACTTCCCTCTCCCCGGCCACTTCATCCAGCTCCTCTGGGGGAATCCCAAGGCGTTCCCAGGCCAGCTGAGAGACATAGTCCCTCCAGCGTGTCCTGGGTCTTCCCCGGGGCCTCCTCCCAGTGGGAC